ATGACTATAAAATTGTATGCTTCAGTCCTGCAATGCGTCTCTCACTACGAGATCGTATTAGAAAGAGGAGGGAGGAAGAAGACGATGACATGATGCTATTTATTTTCCCCGCCTTATATCTTATGAGTTCTGCTGGAGGAGGGGAAAAGAAGAAACATCATACTTCGGAAGAAACAGGCGAGGTTAAAGTTCGTAGACTCCTCGAGGGACATGTCAAGAACTGTCAAGTTGCATTTAGGATGGAACCACGCATCTTTAGAGAATTGGCAAATTATCTTAGAAGCAAAAGGCTTGTTGTTGATACTAGGATAACTGTGGAGGAGAAGTTGGGTTTCTTCCTATACATGTTAAGTCACAACGCCTCGTATGAGGATCTCCAAGTGTTCTTTGGGCACAGCAATGACACCTTCCATAATCACATCAACCACTTCTTCAAGGTGGTCATTCCCGCACTCTCTCACCGTTACCTTCAAGCTCCTGATCCTAATCAAGTGTATAAAAAATCCAAGACAATCCTAGATTCTATCCATTTTTCAAGAATTGTCTAGGTGCCATTGATGGAACTCATATTCCTATTTCCATAGCCTCTGAGAAAGCTTCTCCTTTTAGAAATAGGAAGGGCACACTAAGCATTAATGTGATGGTGGCATGTGATTTCGGTCTCAACTTCACTTTCATTTCTAGTGGATGGGAGGGATCAGCTACAGATTCCAGAGTGCTACGATCAGCTATGAGCAAGGGCTTCCAAGTACCTCTAGGCAAATTCTATCTGGTTGATGGAGGGTATGCAAATACTCCATCTTTTCTTGCTCCATATCGAGGAGTTCGATACCATTTGAAAGAATTTGGGGCTGGACATCGAAGGCCGCAGAACCCAAAGGAGCTCTTTAACCACCGCCACGCACTACTGAGGAACCATGTGGAAAGGGCTTTGGGGGTGCTTAAGAAGCGCTTCCCCATTCTAAAAGTTGCCACATTCCACATGTTGGAAAATCAAGTAAAGATACCTATAGCTGCTTCCATCTTCCATAATCTGATCCGATTACTTTATGGAGACGAGGAATGGTTAGATCATAAGCCGGATAAAATCCCTCCAAGAAACTTTGTTTCTGTACCAAGTGGTGATCAAAGGTGATCAAATGAATGACCTAAATGTGGGTTCAATACAAGGCAACACTTTAAGAGACACCATCACCCAAAAAATGTGGGTTCATTACCAGCAACATTTAAATTAGTCTTTGAATATGCTATAATAAGTTAATAAGCTTGTAATAAGCATGGATTGTAATTAAGCAGAGACTTCTTTTTAGTCTTTAAATTAGTCTTTGAATAGGTTGTAATAAGCTTTTGTCATGAATAAGCTTGTAATAAACTTGGCTTGTAATAATTGAATAAGCTTATAATAAGTGAATAGGCTTGTGTCATATTTGACAGCGATGGTTGGAAAAGGCTCCTCGAAGCTCAATATGATTGCAAGGGCGTCACCAAAGTTGCACCGGTTCTTAGGTACAACAAGTGGTGTTAAAAAGAAGGCTTCTCCTAAATGCAGTAAGGCAAAGAAGACTGGAGGTTCTCCGAGAGGTATGGTGTTTAATTCTCTGTTATTATTGTTGTTATTTCTCTGCTATTATTGTTGTTATTTCTTTGCAGTTGTTTGCTACTAAAAAGAACTTTATTGAAGTAATTCTCTTCTATACAGTTTATTCCACCATGTGCTATTATAGTAGTTTTAGTAAACCTGTAACATGTAAACTGGTATTTCTTTACTATTATTTCTATTTGCTGATTTTTGGTAACCTGATGTCTGACCATGGTTTACGTAGTAGTAAAGCAAAGAGCGGACTGGAATCCAGTCCTTGAGAAGTCCTTGGTAGACATTCTCCATGAGTATAAAGATAGTGGCTATAAAGGTGACAACGGATGGACCCCTGAAGGGTGGAATAAAATGGTGAAGGAGTTCCATCTGAGGAACAAGTATGTCAACTACACAAAGAGTCAGATTCAAGACAAAGAAGGACAACTAAAGAAAGACTATAGGATGCTCAAAGAGGCAAGGAGGCAGAGTGGGGCCACTTGGAATGAAGATAGGCATATGGTTGAAGGATCACCATCTATGTGGGATAACCTTGAAATTGTAAGTTGATTTTTTAAAGTAATTCTATGGATATCCTCATAGTGATAACCTCATATTTGATCAATGGTTCTCTTTGAATGTGCAGACATTCCCTAAAATTAGGAAGTTCCGCAACAGTAAGGCAAGATTTCCACTATTTGATGCTTTGGGAGAGCTTTATGATGGTAGGTTCACTTTCTATAGTTGCAAACAGTGCCAATCAATATATTCTTTCTGCTTCTCACTTTAGTATTTGTTTGTTTCTATCTTGCTGCTCTATATTATCATGTGATTCACTTGACTTGTCTAGTAGTCTTTGATGAAGTATTTTTATAGTGCTGATGACTAAGCAACAATATGCTAGTTACAGTAATGCTTTTCTACTAGTGCTAATGACTAAGCAACAATATGCTAGTTTTATAGAGTTAGGTTATATGCTTCTACTTGTCACAATTTATAGATGTCAGAACAGCAACTCTACATCCATGTTCTTCTCATCTGTACTGTGATTCAGTTCTGCACTACTAGTTGCTCTACACGATATTTTCCCCCCCCCAATTAACTCCTTCTAGTTGTCATAACTATATTGGTTCTCTTTATACTTGAATTTCATGAGGAAAGACCATTTTCTATAGCTATTTCCTTGTTATCGTGTAGGTCATTTGGCTGAAGGTACTTACAATCTGACTTCTCTTGAGCCACCACAAGAGGAAGCACCACTTCGACAAATTCATGATGTAGATGACTCGGACAGTATTGAGGTTCATGAGGTACTAGATGAAGATGATTCAATCACTGAGATACAAGAGGAAGCAAGTGAGGTTGTACCTGTTGAAAGAAATGGACAGCGAGGTTCTCTGTCACGAGATGAAGAAAATGAGGTCGTAGCTGTTGAAAGAAGCAGACAGCGAAGAACTACTTCTACTACATCAAGCAAAAACATGAAAAGAAAGAAAAGAGACCTAAGAAGGGTGAAAGGATTGAAGAAATGATGGGGAGATACCTAGACATGAGGGCTAAGCAAGTACAAGATGAGTCTACAGATCTAGCCAAAGAAAAGGATGTTGCTCAAGGTAATGACTTCTCTATCAAAAGGTGTATATCCGTTTTGAGCACAATGGAAATGACAAAGGAAGAAAAGGCAAAGGCATTTGCAGTGTTCATCAAGAGCAAAGAAAATAGAGAGGCCTTTCTAAGTGGTTGTGAACTAGATCGAGAAGCAACTTTGGTTTGGCTCAAAAATATGATGGTCTAACAGGTCAGTCTACTTAATTGCTAAAAACTTGATTTTTTCCTTCTATTAGTTTAGGGGCTCAACTTTTTATTGTGTTACTGAACTGCACACTCCATGACAGTCAAGTAGGGGCTCAATTTTCACTGCACCATTTGTTTAGGAGCTGCTTGCTTACTTATCAATCTTGCTATCTATTTTGTTGCTTGATTTCTAGCTATCATGGTTTCTGTCTTACTTTCCTAAAATGAATCTGTTTCAGTCTTGTAACTGGAGATGTACATTTTCCTTTTGAAGATAGTGAGTTAGTGACTATGCAGACCATTCAGTAGATTGATAATAGTGCTTGTATAATTTTCTTTTTCTCTTTTTTTTTGTCAAAGGATTTTTTATAAGTTATCGAAGGATACCTACAAGTTTAAAAGGATGTCAAACTTTTAATAGCATCCTAGTTCTTGTATTTGGTGAAATTCTTCTCTTGACATCTAGCTGCAATCTTTCTAGTTGGCAGAAATACCAGAACAGCAGATATCATCAAAGTGAAGGACGTACTGTACCTTCAAAGCATGTTTCATTAATTGCTTCTGTTAATGTTTCTGTAATGGCAGCAGCATTGACAGAGGCCCACTCAACATGTTTTTTTGCAAGAGATAGGATAGATTATGCTTTGGTTGACTACATCGTGAGTCGTTTTCGTTCAATTATTTGTAAAAGAAAGCTTGCTGTCATTTTCAGGGAAGAGACAATGATCAAGAAACATTGGATTGGACAAAGTGTCTGGACACTTGACTTAGATGAGTTATCTACTGGTTTAAATTATGAAGATTGTAATTCCATGAGTGGATCATGGCAGCCTTTTGGTGCACCTTTTTGTCACTTTTGTCAGTAGCTAGCATGTCTTTTATATGTGGCTGCACATTATCTGTGGTACCCTGCTATTGTTGCTGCCCATTATCTCTACACGTATGAGAGCATGATGAGAGACTTACAGATAAAATAACTCCAAAACATGGGAGATTTTATCTATTTTATTTTGCTGCAATGTATGAGAGCCTGTTTTTGCTGCAATGTATTTCATGAGATGTATTTGTAGTACTCCAACACTTGTTCAGTACCACAAGCAAACGAACGTGGCCTAGAGAGATCAGTCATGTTCCTGTTCCTGAACTGTCAGCGACGGCACTGCTAACCAAACAGCAGGCAGGGAACGGTTACAGAGAAGGAGTGACAGGCAGGAATCCACTCATTCCTGGGGTGGAACAAATCAGCTCCCGGATTGGATCCTGAGCAAACGAACGAGGCCTTCATCTGTCCAGCGTCCTGTGTCCAGGTCCAGCCTCCAGCGCTCCGTTCACTGCTCATACAGTGGGTCTTCTCTGCACTCGACGACTCACGGCAGCAATCTGGGGCGTGTTTGTTTCCCTGGATGGGCTTCTGGGACATGCCCTCGTGGTGCAGCGGGCCGTGATTGTTTGCCTGGACTCTTCGCCAGCCTGGTGCGCACGGTGATTAAAGCAGCCTGGAGCCTGCATCCCAGGAAACGAACTGGTTCGCTGCGTTCGCACGCGCCTGATGCGGTTACCTTCGGTGTCTTTTTCTCCCTCACCCCTCCGGCTCTGTTAGCGACTGCTCTTCTCCATGAGCGCGACGACCACCATGGCGGAGACGGAGAGGATGAGGTCCGTCCCGACGCGCTGCAGCGAGGATAGCCCATGCGGAGCCCCCGCGCGGAGGCGGCCATGGCAGCGACGGCGGGCGCCGCCTGCTCCACGCGCCACCCGCCGCGCCTGCAGATCTCGCCGTCGCGTGCTACTCGGCGGCGCTCCTCTCCATCCCCATCTGCGACGCCGGGCTTGACGCGGGGGAGGGCCTCGTCGAGCTTGACGGCCACGTCGGACGCGTCCGCTCGATTGGGCCTGCGCTGGGTTCGTTGCCCGCCATTGATGTGCTGTAGTTGGGGGCGCACGGTGGCGGGTGGGAGGTGGCGGTGCTGCTGGTGTAGGGGAAGAGCTGCAGGAGTGAGCGTGCTCTTCAGACGAGGACCGGCGTCCTCCGCTAGGGAACCGGGGAAGGCAGGGGATTGGGTAATGAGCGTGCTCTTCCATGGACGCCATCCAGGTGCTCGATGGAATGTCTCAAAGAAGGTAACTCTACCATATACTTGTCCAAGGTCACCACATCCAGCGGTCCAGTCAAACAAACACGATTCGGCGCCAGACGGGATTCGCTGGGAAATTAAACCAGGGCCTTGTTTAGATCACCGCCAAATTCAATTTTTTTCACTCTGTCCATTACATCAATTTTTGGACGCATGCATGAAGCATTAAATGTAGTTTTAAAAAAAACTAATTACACAGTTTGGTTATAAATTACGATATGGATCTTTTGAGCCTAGTTAGTCCATGATCGAACAAAGTTTGTTAAATATAAACGAAACATGCTACAGTGTTCAGTTGTAAAAATTTGCAATCTAAACCAGACCCAAACAAGCACCTGTTCACCCGCTAGGCCCGGCCTCCGCTATCCTGGCTCTCCTGGTCCGACCAGGCTGAGAAGGAAACAAAGACGCCCCTGGTGTCAACTAGCGATTCGACGGCTCTCGAGTACGCTGTCCATGCTCTTGCACGGGATGCACGGGAACGGGACTTGTACAGGTTTCATCTGAATCTGAATGAGTGGTCAACCAAATTAGTCACAGCGGCACAGCCTCAGCTCGGAGCCTCGGTGCTCCAGCAGATTCCCCCCATGGCAGCGGCGCGAGGGGAGGGGAGGCTCGTCGACGACCTGCGGGACTTCCTGGATGACTTCACCTTCAGGGCCAAGCGATTGGCCGCGCCGTTACTGCACAAGTTCGGGCCCTCCTCCGAGCCGAGCGCGGTCGACGACGGCGAGCTTGACAAGCTCAGGTCCAGGCTCCGGCGCATCCGCGCCACGCTCCGGGCCGCCGAGGACCGGGTGGTGGCCGACGATTTCGTCGCGCTGTGGCTCCGGGAGCTCCGAGACCTGGAGCACGCGGCCCAGGACGTGCTCGAGGAGCTCGAGTTCGAGGCGCTCCGCGCGGCGCGCCTCGAGGGGTTCAAGGCCCATCTGCTCCGCACCAGCGCCAGCGCCGGCGGCAAGCGGAAGCGCGAGCTCAGCCTGATGTACTCCTCCTCCCCCGACCGCGTCAGCCGCAAGATCGCCAAGATCATGGAGCGGTACAACGAGATCGCGAGGGACAGGGAAGCGCTCCGGCTGAGGAGCGGCGATGGGGAGAGGCGGCACGAGGTCAGCCCCATGACGCCCACCAGCGGCTTGATGAAATGCCGGCTTCACGGAAGGGAGCGGGACAGGAGGCAGGTCGTTGAGCTGTTGTTATCTGGCGAAGCTAATTGCTATGATGTCTATTCTGTTGTTCCCATCGTTGGGCCGGCCGGTGTTGGCAAGACTAGTTTAGCACAGCACATCTACAATGACGAAGCCGTCAGCTCAAACTTTGACATTAAGATGTGGGTATGGGTGTGCCAACAGTTCAATGTCCTGGAGCTTACAAGGAAACTCACCGAAGAGGCCACGGAGTCCCCTTGTGACTTCGCCGACATGAACCAGATGCATCGTGTCATCACTAATCAGCTGAATGGGAAGCGGTTCTTGCTTGTTCTTGATGATGTGTGGGATGAAAGCCAAGACCGCTGGGCGAGCTTGCAGGTGCCTCTGAAATGTGCTGCTCCTGGGAGCAAAATTATAGTGACCACTAGAAGCACTAAAGTTGCCAAGATGATGGCTTTGAAGATACACCAATTGGGGTACCTGTCTGATACCAGCTGCTGGTCTGTCTGCCAAGATGCTGCCTTGCGAGGCCATGATCCCAGTATTATCGATGACAGCCTTATCCCCATTGGTAAATTGGTTGCGGCAAGGTGCAAAGGCTTGCCGATGGCTGCAAATGCAGTTGGTCATGTTTTATCCAGTGCAATTGATAGGAATCATTGGGAGGCTGTTGAGCAGAGCGATTTTTGGAACAGTGAAGTGGTTGGGCAGACCCTTCCTGCTCTTCTTGTGAGCTACGGTAGCCTGCATAAGCACTTGAAACACTGTTTTTCTTATTGCTCGCTATTCCCAAAAGAGTATTTGTTTAGAAAAGACAAGCTGGTCCGTCTATGGTTGGCGCAAGGCTTTATTGAAGCAGACAAAGAACGTCATGCTGAAGATGTTGCGTGCAAGTATTTTGATGACCTTGTGGAGAATTTCTTTCTTCTGAGGTCACCATACAATGATGAGAGGTAAACATTGTTCATTTTAGAAATTTCATCAATGATTCTTGAAGTGCCAAGCATTAAGTTGAGAATCTGGTTCTGAACACAAAATCATGTTAGTGGCAATCCATTTTCTTAACTGTGACAATCAATTTCAGTATTAATAGCTTGCCTTTTGCTAATCATAGCTGTTATGTGATAGTCGTCACTATCGTAAATTGTAATAGTCATCTTACATATGATTCAAAGCTGAACTAAGTTGTGCATGAACTCAACTGTTGGTGATGGTGCGTACTTTTGTTGTACATCGTACTAGTGCCCATACATCAATGTCTACATCCAATGTATCTACCCGGTGTTTAGGTTGCATGTTAATGTGCGATACATATCAGAAACTGAATAATGAAAATGGCAGAGTGACTTTCAAATGGATGAAATGCCTCTTAATAGAAGTTGGGAGTAGAGTGTTGCAAAAAAAAAAAATTGATTAAAGAGTTAAAACACATCATTGATGTCTTGCTAGCAATTCTTGATATATATTTGTGTCGTTATAAGAGGTGTTCATTGTGCAATCTATCTAATGCTTTTATACAGAAAGATAAGGAATAGATTAGGAAATTAATACATTACATATTAAATGTGTAAACCCCAAATATTAATGAATATACTATTAGCGTCAACATGATTACACAACCAAGAACACTGGCTCTATTTTATCTTCCATTCATATATTTTTTACGTAAGGTTCACATGTTATAATAGGATAATATGTTGATGTTTCCTCAGTGTGAATGCATTTTGACTCTTGATTGCTTCTACTGGCTGTCACGGAAGTAGGGAGTTATATGCAATTACCATGCCTTGCCTTGTGAACTTTGTGTAGTTTCTAATGTTGTTTCTTCAGTGATTCTAAGAGAACAATGCAGCTGCTATTGGCTTTCTTCCAGATTTTGGTTGTCTCCAATCCAATAACATAGTAAACATTTTGGTTTGCTTGTTAAATCCTGTGATTTTTACTGATTTGTGACTCCCATTATTTAACTAAATTAATGGCATTAGAATATCACCAACCTCAGTAATGCATATTGATTTTTTTTTTGGCTCATTTTTGGTGATGACAACTATTTGTAACAATATTACGTGTGTGTTTATGTTGTTCTGAGATAATTTATAGAACTACAATATTTTTTCTTCTAACAGGTTTGTCATGCATGACCTCTATCATGAGCTTGCTGAATATGTATCAGCCAAAGAATATTCCAGGATAGAGAAATCTACATTCAGCAATGTAGAAGAAGATGCTAGACACTTATCCTTAGCTCCAAGTGAGGACCACTCGAATGAAATTGTGCAATTCTATGCACTCCATAACCAATATCTGAAAGAATCTCTTACCCCTGGCCTGCGAACATTATTGATTGTTCAAAAGGATGATTTCAAGAGTGAAGGAAATACTTTGTACATAAACTTCCCAAGTGGCCTGTTCAGGCTTCTTGGGTCTTTGAGGGCTCTCGACTTGAGTAGTACCAACGTAGAGCACCTGCCACACTCTGTTGGTGAATTGATACACCTTAGGTACCTCAGTCTTGAAAATACCAAAATCAAATGCCTACCAGAGTCAATAAGCGCACTCTTCAAGTTACATTCGTTGAGTCTCAAATGCTGCAATAGCCTTGGTGAATTACCTCAGGGGATCAAATTCCTCACTAATCTAAGGCATCTGGAACTGCCATCCATGGATAACTGGAATATGTACATACCATGTGGAATTGGTGAATTAACAAACCTACAGACAATGCATGTGATCAAGGTCGGAAGTGATTCAGGCAGCTGTGGGATTGCTGACTTGGTTAACTTGAATAAGCTTAAGGGAGAGCTATGCATCTCAGGAATAGAGAATATCACAAGTGCACAAATTACTCCTGAAGCTAGCATGAAGAACAAAGTTGAATTGCGCAAATTGATTCTCCACTGGTCTTGCGTCAACTCCATGTTTTCTGATGATGCATCCTCTGTTTTGGATAGTCTTCAACCTCACTCTGATCTAGAGGAATTGACTATCAGGGGCTTTTGTGGTGTCAGATTTCCTTTATGGCTGGGGAATGAGTATATGTTTAGCTTGTCCATTTTAGAACTAAAAGATTGTCTGAACTGTAAAGAACTGCCATCTCTTGGTCGGTTACCTTGTCTCAAACATCTTTCAATCAATTCGCTCACCAGCATAAAGCATGTGGGACGAATGCTTCCTGGCCATGACGAAACTAACTGTGGTGATTGTAGATCCAGCACCAGCAGAGCCTTTCCTACATTGGAGACACTGAAGTTCATGAACATGGATTCCTGGGAGCTATGGGATGAGATTGAGGCCACAGACTTCCGTTGTCTTCAGCATCTCACCATCATGAGATGTAGCAAACTGAACAGGCTGCCCAAGCTCCAGGCACTGCAAAATCTTCGTATAAAGAATTGTGAGAATCTACTCAACTTGCCAAGTTTCCCATCCCTCCAATGTATTAAAATTGAGGGTTGCTGGTGTGTTAGTCAAATAATGCAGCTCCGAATATTTTCTCATATTGAGACATTAGAACTCCGTTGTCACAAGAAACTTGTATCAGTGAAAAAGATCCCGAATCCAATCCTTCACAGTTTTAGATTGAAGCAGGAAGGGCAGCTACATAAGTTTTCAGGGTGTCAAGTATTGCCTTTTCAGAATTTGTCTGTTCAAGATAGTCAGGTACATGTGACCACTAAATTACATATACCAAATATAATTGTCATTTGATGTAACAGATTCTGAAACATCCATGCTCGCTATATATTTTAGACAACTTGGACATTTTTAAGGTGTGTGGGACGAACACACGAATGTAATTGCAATTTTGTTGCATTTACGGATCTTACATCTGGACAAACCGATGTACATCATTCTGAAGGTAGCTCCATCCACAGATACTTGTTCCTTTGTCGGTTCTTTTTCATTTTCGGCATGCATACGCGTTAACGACAACGAATTTGCCTATTCTTTAATAGGAAGAATGTATTTGGCACCTAGTATTGTTTATGTCAACTCAGGACATTTAACAAGCTTGCTTTCATTTGTGTTTATCAATTTCAGCTGAGACCTGTAAAGATGTATCATTCCATGCTGGACAACCTGAAGACATTGAGCTTTTATCCTGTAAACCAGTTTGGGTTCAAATGGATCAGCCAGAAGAGATTGAGCTTATTTGCATAGACTGATAATGAGATCGGCGTGATGGACAAACCAGGATCCTCAGGTGGTGAGCTGGTGAGATCCGGATAATGCAGCTCAGACCAGTAACCAACGCTTAAGTTTTTCAATCTAAGACTCGAATTCTGGTTAGCTGATGTTGTATGGCATGTAAAATCAACCAAAGTCAACTGGTGTCAGTGGTTGCTCCATCCTGTATTTATCTTTTGGTCACTGTATGTACACTCTGATACTTCAGCAATACACATACATATATATACCTGGATGGCTGGATCAACCAAAGCCGGCTGGTGTCAGGGTTGTTCCATGCGGTACTTCTCTTCTGGTAACTGTATGTACACTCAGATATTTTGGTGATACACATACATTACCTGGTATGTTCCTGTTATTATGTGCATTCTGATATTCAGCGTACAAAAATGTATCTTGTGATGAAGAGAAATTTGCATTCAAACAATCTGTATTCAAAATTGGCATAGCATTGCACAAAATGAACAAAGAAAAAGATGATTTATCATTTGACTGCATGTATAAGATGTTGGTCAAGAGCATATCATGGAGTTCCAGTCTAATATTTAACGAAACCAAACCAACCATTATGGGATGTTCACCACATAGGTATCTGCCCCAACATATTACTCTGTCCATCACAACATGGCTACATAGTTCATAAAAAAAAAAAACATGGCTACATACAGTAATGAATATTAAAGCAGCATGAACTAACATATCCGAGCTTAATTCATAATACTCCCACTTCCTTTGTTCCAAATTATAAGTCGTTATAGTTTTTCTAAATACATAGCTATGTATCTGAGCATAGCTAGACATGTACTACATCCGTCCAGAAAAAAACGCAATTCTATGTCCAAGTTCAAAGCTAGAATTGTGTTTTTTCTGAACGGATGGAGTAGTAAAAGCCATGTATCTAGGAAAGCCAAATCGACTCAGATTTTCGAGCGGAGGGAGTAGTGCATACATACATCTTGGATCTTCCTGAATCCATAACACACAGAAGGGACTTCACATCTGTCTTTTTCGCGTTGATCACCAGTGGCGCTTATTGCTTTTGTTACCAACCACCGCACGCCGTCTCGATCTAGAGCGGCAAGAGTGAGCCTCACTGGCGTACTGCCCCCGCTCACGCCGATAAATTTCCAGTCCTTGCGCCGCACGGTTGATCTTTTGGAGACCGGACTCGATAGGCACACTAACACGCTCTTCGGCGAGCAGTTCCGGCATCAAGAGCCGTTTCAACCCTTCGTGCCATGCGATGGCCTCCCCCACCGTGGGTTTCGCAGCCCACACCCACCGCACAGCGCGTCCTGTCACTTGCCGAAGAACTCCTCTTCCAGGAGCTGCGCCATGTCCTGCACCGACACCACGGACGCCCACCTCATTACCCTGGCGAACCCGCCGTCCTCCTGCTTCGGCGGCGTGACGCGCAGTGCCTGCAGGCCGTGCCTCAGGTACGGCACGACGTGCCGGCCGACGAACTCCTCCCAAGCCTCCGGCCCGAACGCGTCTTTCCACGGTAACACCATGTCGTAGTCAGCTAAGGCGCGCGCCGTGTGCCATCCCAGCAGCGCCTTCCCGAGCTTGTGCCGCACCATCACGTACAGCGGCTCGAGCCAGCGCCCGAGGAGCGGGATCCACCGCTGCACCCAGACGTGGCACGGCTCAGGCTCCCACCGCGGCTCCCACAACTCGACGGCGGCCCACAGCTTCGGCATGACCACCTGCTCCAGGAGGCGCTGGATGGCAGGGAGCGGCAACGCGTCACCCCACGTCTCCAGGAACCGGATCATCGGCTCCGGGTCCTTGGCCTCCCACGTCTCGGCCGCCGATGCCAGCGCGGGACCCACCACCACGTCGTCGACCAGCGCTCCGTACGGCGAGACGGCCGACCCGTCGTCCAAGAGGATGTCTTTGAGCGTGGTCACCGCCTCCAGCCCGCTCGACGGGTCCTCCAGCGGTTCCCACCTCTGGAACACCGCGCGCAGCAGCGGCGCCACGATCGCGCGCGCCGTGTCCGCGAGGCGGTACGTCGTGTACTCCCAGGGACACTTCTCCTTCAAGGCTGTGAACTCGCGGATCAGCTCGCCCGTCGTGAGCGTCCCCGACGCGCTCTGCTCCTGCACCCACTTCATGGCCTTGGTGATCGCGGCCGCCGGCCTCTCGTCCCCGGGTCTCAGGTCTCCTAGCAAGCCACTCGACGTCGACGACCACCGGGCCGCCCGCGCGAGTGCCTTCTGCACACGCACGACGGCCTCGGCGGCGCTCTCCTCCAGACGTCTGGCTAGGATCTTGTCGTCGACGACGTCCCGATCGCGCTTCCGTTTCCTTGCTCCTCCGGCTTCGTCCCACTTGGGCCAGTTTTCGTCGGTGGGTGGCGGCAGCCCGTCCGCTCCACCGATGATGGATCTCTCGACGCTGCCGAGGCCGGCATTCTTGGGACGGAGGGCCACCTCGATGGGAGCGATGATCCCCTGTCCGTGCCTCCCGAGGCCGCTGCCTTCCTTGTAGTTCATGCGCTTCATCATCTGCGCCACTACCGCGTTGGACGCAAGGCTCCCCGGCTCCGGCGGCGGCGACATGGCCTGCCGAGCCGGATCCACAGACGAGGACGATGCGAGATTACGAGAATCCCCATGCTCATCGGACGACGAGATGGCCGCCGAGACAAAATGGACAGGCTTGGGGAGATCACCTGCTCCGTGTCGGCGTTTCTGCGGCGGACGCGCGCCGGAGGGACGAAGACCATCCTCACCACGGTGGGCAGACGCGGAGTTTCGGCCCGTTCCCCACTGTGCCCAAGCTGACCTGCGGTTGTCGCCGGTGTAGCCGCGCTCGTCAGCCTCGCGGCGGTTGGTCGCGTAGCGCCAGTCGTCGGCGGCCATGACGCACACGCCGTGGCCTTCGGGGATGTATCTGAGATCTGACGCGAGAATGCGAGATGCGAAGTGGGTTTTGGGTAGCCCGGGAGGCGGTGGTGGCTGCGGAGGCGGTTACTTGTGGCACATTTTTTTTCCCGCACCGAACGTCCGCACTGTTCGTTTGTTTTATAAACACGACTTTTTCAGCCAATAAACTATATTTTTCTCTCACAATAAATCAGTCAACAGTATTTTTAGTCATTGCTTATCAGCCAAACGAACAGGACAGTCGTCGCCGGTGCCTGCGGCCGTAATATCGTGGCTCGTGGTCTCGTTAGCGTGGAACGCGTGCCCGAGTCCGAGTAGAGAATAGGGGTGAATATGGAAATATTTTACGAGAATCCCGCTGAGCATCTCCAAGAGTTCCCTAAATTCCTTTTCTAATCCTTGATTTTTAGCAAGATGAGAAAAAAAATTCCTCTCCAACAACTACTAATCCATCCCCTAATCTTTTAGAACTTGGAAAAAGTCACCATGTTTCGCGTGAAGTTACGTGTTTCCGAGTCGCGCGTATCTTCTCTCTCCCGCGCGTGTTTGTCAACCAATCTAAAGGGGAAGGACGTGGAAAGAATAAAAAGTAGAAAAAAATTTCTGATGCAAATGCATAAGAGAGAGATAATATATAAAAGTGGTTAAGATAATTTAGAAATAGTATAGCATTCCTTATGTAAAATTGTCTTCTATATTTTAGGAGTGGATTATTAGAAACTCTTGGAGATGGTCTTCTTTATTTCTTCTAATACTTTTTTAGGAGTTGTAAAACTTAATGGTTTTAGAAAGGAAACAATGAATACTCTTGGAGATGCTCTAAGCGATCGGTCGGTGAGTAGTGGCGTTCCTTATATATCTCGATCGTACTAGGTCCGACTACTTATCGCATCGCATGGCGACTGGCCAAATATAATTTGTCCCGCTCTATCGCCCACAATTTTTTGGTAAGCGGTTCGCCGACTAGATGAATCTCCCATACAATTTAACTGCGCACGTTGCTGTATTTTTGTATTTCATCACGGTAATAGACGGGATAATTTATGTTCACCAAATTGCTAATTGCATGATTATTGTTGGGGATTTGACTTCGTCCTAAAACTCAGCCCCGGAACTTTAGAGTCAAGTCTAAAATTCTGTAACAAAGTTTGATTGCATGAAGGTAGAAAGGTGAAGATGATGTTTTGACTTCGCGCAAGAGGAGTTGACTTCGTGGCAGATGAGAAGAAGACGGGAAGCAAAGACAAGATTCCGACTTCTCTCCATAGGCGAAGTCAAAATAAGTTCGATAAGAGCAAGTTGAAGGATCAAAACTAGGATAGTGAAAAAAGACCACTTTGTCCTTGTAGTTTAAAGGGGTTGTAACAATCTAAGATGGGGGTAAAATGATCATTTGTATATAGATTATGAAGGTTAGGACCTCTATAAATATCCCCTCTGCCATGTACAGTACAATCATGAAATGAATACAACTTTGGCTTGTGTTCAACTTAGATGTTTGTGTGATTATTTCACTCAACATCTGCCCCCCACCGTTTGTGTGTGCTCGAAGACTCCCACGACCACAAGAAATCAATGGGTAGACAGGGCAGGAAAGTTATCTCCGGGGCAACTGAAGAAGACCCACCAGCAACGGGCGAAGACCAAAGTCTTAAGAAAGATGCACCCTAAGACCCAAATTCTTCAAAGGCAAACGAAGCCGAAGAACAAAGACTTAAATAATTAGAAGAGCAAATTGCTAAGGGCGCCCGTTTGGTTCCTTAGAATTGAATTCATTCTAATAATTATAGGTTAGACACAAATTAATTAAACTAATATGGTTCTAAGTGGAATATTTTCGTATATTATTGTTTGTGATACAAGAGAGTTACTTATATGTTGCATTTCTATTGTCGGGAAGCGATTTGAAAAACGTGTTATAAGTTTGAAAGTAGAAACATAGCATGGTAATGTATAAAATCAATTTTTATTTCCCACCCTATGAATTTGAGATAGGCTTATATGTAAACTTGAGAATGTAGTGAAATGTCAAATTTCAATCCAAATAACCTGATCTATTAAGTAGAATTTCAATTCCTCCAAAATAATAGGATCCAAATGGCCCCTAAATCTATTTGTGTTCCCCACGCAGCTGCACTCGATCTCTCTCCTATCATAAATTAGCGATATTTTAAAGTTGGGTGAAGTCAATGGTTTCAAACTTTGACTTTTATATATCTTTTGTTCTAATATATCTATAAAATGTAGCAACGGTATATTTTTAGGAGACTATTTTCAAGACAAATCTAGTATAGCTACTTCCAAGCATTCAAACTCAACACATAAAAACAATTGGGTTTGGAATAGTTAGCTTTAGATAACCCAAAGCATCATTTATATGTAACTGGATGGAGTAAAACAACATCATGCTATAGAACAATCACATGTTATATGTGGAGGTACCGAAGGTAAGATAAACTCCCAAACACGGCACCGTCAAACCTATATGTTCGTAAGTTAGTTGTGCGCCTGTGTTCCTAAAAAATTTGCAGAACAGCCATTTTTTACTTCTGAAACTACAGTTGGGTATAGTAGGGTGCAGGGAGCTAGGGATTGCTCTGTAGCAACGTAGTGATTGAAGTTTGCTCAATAAAGTTGCCACCATACCTTTTGCTTCTTTTTAGTGGAACAACATTTAATCTAGCTCCGATAGAAGTAAGAATTTATTCTCATGAATAGACAAAAAAAAATGAATAACGAACCTCTTTGTATGGTGCTTTCTTTTGTTCTAGCGACATGTTTTTCATATTACTCCGTAAACTAATCCATATACAGTCTCAAAAGAAAGGAAACCAGGAAAATTGCAACTTAAATTTTAGCAATTGGCAAGCGGTTTATTGCTCTTTTTGTTCACATTTTAACATTCTATGTACAAAATACAAGGAAAAACTCAAGAGGAAGGTTTGACCTTCCTTTGGTTAATATAAAACATTTAGATATTTAGAATAAAATACTTATTTTTGAAACTTTTGACAATTAATGAAAATGTGCCTTCGCAACAACTCCTTGGGAACAAGTATCCGAAGGACAAAACTATAGGAGAGGTACAACAGAAAGCAGAAGTTTCACGCTTTTGCTCTAGGACAATACAATAGGAGATCGGCCATGAAAGAATCCTTAGAGCTGTGTCACTCATAAAAGGATGGCCCTGCCCTTTCGGGAAAATAAGTCGATTGGATCTCTATCTTTGAAAGTTTAGTGTCTATCTTTAATTTATTTAATACTTCCAACTATTTTTTACATGTCGTATTACCATTGTCTTAACTCAAACATTTCATCTGACTATCAATTTCAAATAATCCATGTGGTTTAACAATTTGTGAATGATATGTTATGAAAATATTTCTCAAAGTGAATCTAAACATATAAATATTACGTTATCAACTTATACTAATTTTTTTAAAATTGATGGTCAAAGATATAAATGTTTAACTTAGGACAAAGCTAAAAAACGAAGGAAATATTCTGAGAAAACCACGTGCAATAGTACAACATGTGACTGAGTACCACTCCATTTGTATCCTTAGATAGGGGCATTGACGGGAATTGATCAAATGGAATAACCTTGTATCAAATAATATTTCATTGGTTGGGGCAAGAATACACTCTTATATGCAGGTCATCTTTAGAGGAACATATTAATTGGACATGGTTCTAAGCATTCACTGCTACATAATCCTTTTTTAGAGTCAGACAATAATGGTTTTTAGAGGTGGTAGAACAGCCTCTATTCAAGCGTCTCTATTTCTAGAGGCACATCAATGTTGGATCATCTCTATTGATTTCTAGAGACGGTTGGCAATATGGCATGCGTGCGTGCGGTTCGTGGGGCCTCGCGCAAGATTGCCTTACCATTGCACCACATATCTTTCGTGATTGAGTATAGGATGCTATCATTTTGTTTAACTTTCACGAATAGGGTTTTTTTGCCCCTAAATAATTTCAAAATAAAAAATATTTGAACTGCAAATCTTAGATCTCGTTGACCACTACAACTTTGGTTTAGGATGTCTCTCCATCTGAAGTCATTTGAAAAATTCAAAACAATTAAATTTTAAAATCTGTGAACTTAAAACATAATTTAATGGTACTAAATGATTTCAAATGAAAAGGTTGTCCACTAAAAGTTGTATCCTTCAAGCTCTACGATTTTGATATAAAGTTTATCTTCATTTTACATGATTCAAAAAAGTTATGAATTGTTTTGTGTTGCACATATTTTTAGAGGGAGACCACATTGTCAAGCACATCTAGAAATCGATTTCTAAAGACGGGTGGTGTTTCTAACCATCTCTAGAAATGCCAGGGTTTTTAGAGGCCATTGAAAACACCAATTACCTATAGAAATCACATGGATTCTGCATCTTGTCAACGAGAGAGAACTGTAGTAACATCCTCTACAATTGTGGCTCCCCTTAGATTCTCGTGTGGTCCTACGTTTCCTCCTATTCTTACATTGTCTCCCTACCCAATTGGTTGATGAATCTTTGTTGAGAGCCACTACAAACATAATGCCAGCATGGACTCTGTAGAGCTGGTGGTGGTGAACACAGAAGGAGACATCGAGGTGAAGGATGACTACAACAATGACAGGGAAGACATCAATACTGCCCTAGTGGCCCTCATGACCTTGCAAGCAGAAGGCCCAATGAGTTTGATATTGCAACATTTTGGTCTAGTTTGCTTTTTGAAATTAATGGAGTTCAAGGTTTTTTTTTCATCACCTAAGCTCATTCTTTCTACAAAAGGGTGTTGTCGTTTCTCATGAATAGAGAGTAACATGGTCAAACTTCAAAGAGTTGTAGATAAAATACAATTAGAGTCATATGAGAATCTTGACAGGGTAACACTTCAAAGGGTTGTAGAAAAAATACAACTAGCATCAAATGAAAATGGTGCCTGAGCCAATGCACAACACGTCAACACTGCGATAGCAT